GGAGCCGCCCCGGGAGGGCGCGTCCGGGATCTCCCGCCGGCTGAGGTCGGAGGGGGAAGGAGCCGGTTCATCGTCCTGGCGCTTTGTGCACTGCGCAGGCCTCGGTGTACGGCGGTCAGGGAGATCCTGGAGAGCTTTGCCTATCCCGCTTGGGGAATGTTTCTGCTGGGCCTCGGTGAACAACTTGAAGCCTCCCCTAGACGTGTAGGCTGTGCAAGCGGGGTGGGTTTTGATGTTCCAAGCTAATTGCTTTTTGTTCTGTCGATGAGAGATTGTAACAGCTAAGCTCTTATCGGGCAGTCATCTCTCATACTGCTGCAATATTCGGAGCAGTGGGCTGTGTTTCATGGTTGATGATTTTACCTGTGGAGTGGGTTAGGAACACGGGAGACATGCATTAAGAGCAAGAGCATGAAGGTGATGCGAGGCACTAAGTAAGGGTTGTATGTCTGATGTCAGTAGAATGTTACAGAAATAAAAAAAAAAATCTACAGGGGTTACAATTCTAGGTCTGTAAATGTGGGGATGATAAGCAGAAAAAAACCCTTGAACTGCTTGTCACTTTCCTATGTTAATGCTAACCTCATTTTGGAAAATTTTGTAGTTGACAAAGGGGTTTTTTTAATACTAAATCTGTGGAATAAGGAACACATTTTATTCAGTTATTTTTTGGCCGCAGGCCTTAAATGCCGTGGAGATAAGGATCAGCATTTTGAACCTGATATTCTGTGAGTAATGTTTCAGACTTGAGGTCGGATTGTTTATCTGCTGTTCCTGAGGTGTGTTACATAGTTGTGTGTCAGTCAGGCTGCCGGTTGCTGCAGGCTGTTACGCCCAGGCATGTTGCGTGTCTGTATTCTGACCCAGAGCTGACAGATCTGAATAACAGAGGCCAGCTTGATGATCTGTAGTTAATTGAAGATAAGATGGGTATGGTGAGGAGATGGTGTTGTGTCTCAATTTGAAAAACCGTTCTCATCTGCCACTGCTGCCTGAGTTTGTGGATTGTGTTTCACGTGGCCAGGAAGGTAGTCAGCTTTCCAAGTGTCACTTTTTTGGAAAAATGTCCGTATCTATTTTTTTTTCCCCCAATGCAAAATAGTTAAACTGCTTACGGCAACCGAAAAAATGTTGACATAGGCAACTTGTTCTGTCTTTGTCCTGCCAGGCAGAAACAGGCATGCCTGTTCAGGAGCAGAGGCAATCCTGATCCTGGAGGGTGGATCTCAGTGCCACCATGGCAGATGATCCAGTGATATGTAATATGTTAGCCAGGGCTAAGGAAGGCTCTTACCATAATCTTCTCTCCTCCTTATGTTGGGTAATTGGTATGTGGAGGATGTTCATGTCTTGGATTCTGTTTATACCTCAAAGCTCGCTCCTGATGACTGTAGCAGAGCCTGCAGCTCTAGGTAATATGTAATCAATAGTGTGTCTTATGTGAGGAGACAATTTACTCCTGGAAGTATAAGTAGTTTACTTTATTCTTATTTGCTCCCCCCTCCCCCTTATATTTGAGAGAGCTTATCTTTTTATCTAGGTGCAATTCTATTTGTAATATCAAGCTCCAGGTGGCAAAGTTAAGACATTTACAGTGATAATGCCAACGTTGATGAGAACATGTTTTCAGTGTCTTTGGGTGGGGAAAAGGGGGATATGCCTATACTAGATCTTGATTCTTAGTGATTTCTGAATGCTTGTTGGGTCTAGCTGACATGTTTAAAAAAATCTTGCAGAGGAATGTGCATGATAGTTTGTTTCTTTGGAGGAAATAAGAGCTTCCCTTTCAGTTCCTCCTTCTATACACATCGCAAACAGGAGGCTTTTTCTCTAGTCTTGATGAAGCATTTCAGTTCTGTAACCCAAGGGAAAAAAAAAAATCAGAGCAGATGAAATATCTTCTGAAAGTAACTACTTAAGTGCATGATTTTCTGTAGATTTTGCATTAGCCTTGGTGTAAAGGGATCACAGTTATGCCGAGTGGTTGCTTATTAGGATGGCCAAAGCTACTGTGGGAATTTTGTCTCGCCTGCCCTTCCAGTTTAGGGATACACCGTACCTACCTGTGAGTATTTTGGAGGTGATGTGGGGCTCATTCCTTCCTGCTGTCTAGAACTCCCTTAAAAGAAGCCCTAAATGCTCTGTTGTTTTCATACTTGATAACCACATCTTTTAAATGATCTCTGTGGACCTGTGCCTGCCTGTTCTTGTCCTTGCGGTGTGTGAAACCCATGGAGATGGTGTCTGAAATCCTGCAGAAGAAAAAAACCAACTTTGCAGCTGAAATTGTTTCCTTGACATTTCTTTTGGCCTGGCTGGATTTTGTTAGGCTAAATATGATAAGGAATGTGTTCTAGGCTAATGCTTGTCTTTAACGGCGGGTACGGTGGCTTGTCTGAATTCTTTACAGGTATATCAAAGCTTGGGGTGTTTTTAAGCTGACTTGGGAGCCTTAAATGCAGGATTACAAAAAAAAAAAAAAAAAAAGTCTGCATCATAGCACATTACTTTGAAGCATGTTATACAGCATTTCAACCCAGAGGGAATGTAAATAGTTCCAGTTTGAGGAATAACCATAAAAAACTGGGTGTAGCTTTTAACACAAGCACTACATTTTGTGTTCTGTCTTCAGCCAAACAGAAGTTAAGGTGCTAGAAGGATTGTCCTATTTTGAATCTATTTTTGGATTTTTAATTACTTCATTACTCAAGAAGCTTTAAAAAAGTTCAGTGGGGGGAAAGTCTAAAAATTTCACTTTTTGGTGAAGTAAGTATTGTACATAGCTAAAGAACACTTTTTTAATAGACCTCTTTTCCAGCATATTACTTACATGCAGAACCTATGTCTCTTTTGACATGAAGTGATACATAGTGGCCATACTTTGGAGCCAAGTTCTGTTCGCGGTTATGACTGTGTCCATAAAGTACAATATTTTTGTGTGTTTGCTTATACCATATCCTTGTGGCTGAAAAATTGTAGGCTGCCATGTAATAAAAATGGGGAGCCCACTCACATATAAAACTTCATCGACATCTACGTACATGTTTAGTTTCTTTTTTTTCTTTTTTTTCCCCCTGCAGGCTGTTGTATCTGTTCAGTGATTGAAATAGTTCTAAAAGAATGGACAGTGTTGATGCAGAAGTGTGTTTACATCGGAGCCAGAATTTCTGACATAGCTTGGACTTTGCAGGGCTACATAGGTCTTGAGTTGAGCTAAAGCTTGGTGTATGTACAGATAAGTTTTAGAAACTTCACCAGCTTTTGTGACTAACGTGTTCTCCTGAATTCTTTCTAAAGATGTATTTCTGTATCTTCTCAACCAGCACAAAGTGAACAAGGGGATTAATTGGATTGGTTAAGGGAGTCATGTCAGGCTGAGGTATTTAATTCTCCTGTTTTTTTTAAATACTGTTATTCAGTGGCATCTGTGTCCTCTTAAGACCCGGTGGTCATCTAGGTTGCTTGAAAAAATAGTCTTTGTTTCTAATTTTTAAATTTTTGACCTGTTAGAGCTGGTATTCTGAAATAGTTAAAAGAACTATTCAATACGTTTGTTGGAATTCACAAAGGCTTTGAATTTGAGTTGCCCAAAAACTGTATTAATTGGAGAAGAAAAAAGGGTTGTTAGATAAGAGTCACTGGCCTGAGTGTTTAGTTAGATACAAGATTATTTTGTTAAGATTCTTCTAGTGTAAGACTACATATATGGTGGGTCAATGTATTATTTGACTCAAAGGTGCTTAAGCAGTAAGTGTGCTGAGGAGAAAATAGGGTTGATGTCTGGTCTGGAGCATCACGAGGAGATGGAGTGAGGCTTGGTCGGCTTTAAAGAGATTCAGCTTATGAAATCGAAAACTAGATACATTGGATAAATGTGGGAGAAAATAGTGGGTCTTCATGACATAAGTTGTCTGCTATTAGGAAACCTTTGTCACAATACGCTATGTAGCACTGGTACTGTGCGTACCAGCTTTGGCCAAAAGGTGTACGGTTTTGCAAATAATGTGAATGGATGAAACTTTGTGAGTTTTGATTTAGTTTTAAGAATGTAACAAGTTATGTTCCAAGAGGTGGTATGACATTGATCAAATGCCAGAGTAGTTAATGTCTGTGATTATCTTTCTTTGCTTGCAGTGAAGGTGAACGACCAAGCCAAAATGAAAAAAGAAAAGAGAAAAGTGTCAAAAGAGGAGGAAATCGCTTTGAGCCATATGCTAATCCTGCTAAAAGATACCGAGCTTTTATTACAAATATTCCATTTGATGTGAAGTGGCAGTCTCTGAAAGACCTGGTCAAAGAGAAAGGTAATGTACAACTCAGGTGGCCAAGTGATGTCTGTCATCTTACTTGTGGCTGACTTTGTTTGTAAACTTAAGAGTTGAAGTTCTGGGTGGACTTAGCGACATGAGCTTTGTAAAAGGTCTTCCTGAAGCTTTTTTGGGTGTTGCACAACATCTGCTCCCTGGCAGCCTTCCAGACGGATAGTTCCTTTATAGGCATGTTGGCCTACAGCTAATAGTGCTTCATCGGAGAGTTAAGAGTATTTTTCTTGGGGTGGGGGAGATGAGGCTTTTATCAGATGTTAGCCTTGACATGCAACAAAACTTTCTGAAGCATTTTAATGTCTTTTGAGTAATAAAGGTAGTTACTTGCTGCTGATCTGGTGTGTGTTTATATAGCTGTGTCCCCAAACTTTGTAGTGATTTGTGCTTAGTTAAAGATCCATACTGCCATTTGATAGCAGTAAAATGTATTTAAGGGTGACCTGCAAAAAAGAAAAATCAGGTTTGTGCTTTGGCATGTGCTGCAACGCAGTCAGGGCTTTGGAAATCCTGTTCATGGTGTTTCCCCTTTCCCCACTTCTATTTAACTGTCCCATGTGAATGGGAGCTGCCTTAGTTTGTTGACCTTTGCATCTTCATCTTGAAGAAGATGAAGAAACTGAGCTGACTACTCTCAGGTGGTGACAAGTCTAAATGTAGTGTTACTTCTTTAAGCTGATGCCCGCCTTACTAGTTTTCAAGTCACCTTGGAAATGCAGCGGAGTGGCAAGAAAATACTTGGCTTCTCCGTCATTAAAATGTCTCAAAACAAGTTAAGAATAACTAATACAACCACTCCTCTTGTGGGTCACTTCTAAAATACATAGCATCAGTCATAAATGTCTCGCAAAATAGTGATCAGTGTTAACTTGTGCTTGAACTAGGTAAGGAACGATAGTTAATGTGTTCACAAGGTGTGGCCTAATGAATGGGAAAACAAATTTCCAAAGGGTTTTAAAATGTTTGTCTTATGGAGGCAAAATGGAATTGAGTCTGCGTAACGAACTTCAGGAGTATAAGCACTGGGAAACTTCCATAATTAGAGGCTGTGAAACGTTGATGCTTGAGATTCAGCAATGGTTTTCTATAATACGAAGAATTATAGTCTTAAAGACTGCTTTAACAGGCCCTAATTATGAATGGTCCCTTGCCTCAAACTATACTTTAGCTTTGCTGCACAAGATACATTGGTTAATAGGAGTACCTGTATGTGTAGATGTCTAATTTTAAGTACTGTGTTGAATTCCGTTCCAAGTGTCTTGTGGTTTCTCTCCAGTTCACGTGGATGGAAAAGTCCGGTGTGAGATTGTTTCCTGCCTTGCTGTTCAGCTACTCATTCCAGCAGATACTCCTAGGGGAACATTGAAACCTCTCCATTCTGTCTGCAGGGCTTGTTATGCTAAACATTGAGAAGCATTGTTCTTGGTTTTTGGGACTGCTTGTTAAAATACAACAGTTTAGATTTGCTGCGTAGTTGCGATTCATTCTAATTAGTCACTGACTTCTACCAAATTGGTGCTCTTGTGCTGTGCTTGAACTTGCTCAATCGGTACTTCTTGATAAAAGGCATAGTAGTTCCAAGAACCAGGAATGTGATCGTGGAAAAATCTAAACGGTAGAATTCTTGGTTTGTAAGTGTAAGAATTACAGGCCAAATGTTCAAGGTTTTGGGAGCATGTGAAACAGATCTGTACACAAAGGGTAAACATAGGCGTTTCATGACTGCTCCACCGCTTGGCAGTTGTGAAGACTTAAGCTGTTAGCAGCAATGGCATAGCAGGTTGCTGAACGTAGGAGGAGTTCACCTCAATCGGCTGTTTTGCGTCAGTAAGTATGGTTTAGGAGACATGAGCTTTGAGGTCTGCTCATATTTCTGCAACCTGGTTTCTTCAGATGCGTACAGTCTTCTAAAGGTGACATCTCTCTCAAGAGTAATGCCTTGGTTCAGTCATTTCAGTGTATTTGTTGGTGAAACTCAATTACAGGTATGCAGTATGACATAGTTATTAATGAAATGAAAAAATGTTCTTGTTTGAAACTCCCTTGTATTGGCTGACAAACACAAGGTTCTACTAAACTGATGTAATCAGCATTGATAACTGGCAATTGGTGAACGGCTTCAGGAGAAGAATGAGGCAGCAGTTCTTCAGCATGCAAGTGGAGTCTAAACGTAAACATGATTGAATGCTAAATAGCTGTCTTAATCTGTCCCCCAACAAATGGCTCTGTCTTAGGGAGAAAAATGGTAATGCTTCATGGCAGCTGGCATATGTGAGGTGATGCCATATGATAAAAAAGAACTCGAATTTGAGATATTTATTGATCCCTTTAGGAGATACAGAATTCTGCATTTTAAACCTTTCTCCTGGCTGGAGTTGCAAGATGGCGTACAACACAAGGAGAAAGATTAGCTGTAAAAGGAGACAGTAATTGTCTTCTGCTCTGTTGCAAAGTTGGGAGCAGTTGCACTCAAGGCCACGCTCATTTCACATTCGAAGATTCCAGGACACCCCAGAGACCGTATTAGCATGGCTGTACCCACGTTTACATAAGGCAGAGCTGTAGTACGGAGCAGGTGTCCTTACCTCTTCGTATCAAAACCTGGGTGTGTGAATAGGTGTGAGAAACAGAAGCACCAAAGCTTTCCCAGCTTAAACTCTCTGTGAAGAAGAGCAGCTGCTAAACTTCATGTGCTGCCTTCCTTCTTGCTGCATCTTCAGAAATGTTTTTGGAACCTTTGTGGCCGCCTACAGATGTAACTCATGCCCTCTTGCAATTATACTTAATCCTAGATGTTAGTGTACTGGTGAGCACTTTTGTTACTTTGATACTAACCTGTAACTGGAGAGTCCCCTGGGTTTTGGTGCCCAAGATTCTGCCGCGGTCTGCTGGCAGACTGAAGTTTTAGGTGGACAAAGAGAAAAGGATGCATAGCAACGTGGAAGTGCTGTTCCACATCTGACTTGTTCCCCCTTACTTTCAGTAGATGTGCTAACGAGTTACTCTATTTTCATTGGCCTTAACTGTCTTTTCAAGGAGGCACTGACCTTCATCAGTGGATATGAGCTTTTTAACCTCATCTTTCCTGCCTGGGCTGTTAGAGCGCCGAAATTACCCGTAGTTTTTTCTGGGTTCTCTCATGCAAAAGTGAGATTTCCCTTCCCCTACTGTGAAAGAAGAGCTTGTGAACTCTTCTCTGTCTCTACTTTAGGAGGAATGTTTTTCTTCTCCCCTTTTAACTAAAGCTTTGTACGTATATAAAGTGTGTTTCTCTTCTCTCTCCCCAGCCCAAGTCCCCCATGTAACTTTTTAGAGGTTGCTTGTCATGACCTTTAAACACTGTAAATGAAGGAGGAGCTGTGACTAATTTTGAGTTACCTCATGTTGAAAGTATTAGGCTTTTGATGGCAGGGCCGTCTTGAATCAGTCATGTTGCTTGCAGTGCTCTACTTCAGAAAATGATGGGACATCCGTATAGTTTTGGTAATGTCTGCAGAGGCTTTCTTCTCTGGTATTTACTTTTGACCCTCTAGGCCAAAGAAACTACTGTGTTATAAAGCATTTACCCCTTTTTCAGTTTCTGTGCTTCTCTTGCTGCGACTTGCCTCTCTGCACCCTTCACGCCTTTCAGAGCTTCTTGGTTTGTCGCCAACTATTAAAATCATGTTCCCCAACTTTAGAATCTTCTAAGTTGACACCAATGTCTGAGCTTGTTACCCTAGTTACTTCCCACATATGTCTTTAGGGCTAGGTGAATCCATCAGAGCCGTGCCTCAAGTCACCGTATGGACATACTTACCTGAGCTTCCTGAACAGTCATTGGAGAAGATCTGACTTCTGACAGACCAACTTGGCTTGAACATCTTAATTTTCTGTGCAGATAAGCTTTGGAAGTGGATATAAAGATTGAGAGGGAGGGGGGGAAGTGACTGTAAACATAAGTAACACTGGAGATTCCTTTGGCTTGTATTACTAGTTATTACAATGATTTCTGCTTCAGTCTCTTGTTTTAGGAAATGCCGAGTTTCTGAACTTCCTCAAGTGTGAGGTTTTAAAAAATAAAAAAATAAATTGGTCTGCTCTAAGTTCAGTCCTAAAGACACCATGGGGAACATATTCCTTAATTATACCTGCATTGACTTAAAGCTAGTATTTTCTGCAAGTTTTATCTCCCTTTGGAGGCTGGTCTGGTAATAAACGTGAGTTCTTTGAGTAACAGTCTCTTGTGCTTGAATGAAATTTCTTCACTTGTGGATATAGGATATGTTTCCTGGTATAAGCCAGCTGTTCTCTAGCAGAAAGAAAATCTGCCTGGATCACTGTGCATTTCTTTTGCCCTCTGAAGCAGGTTTAGTACATGGATATCTGCTGTTGGTACTTTTCCATGGCTTAATTGCCTGTGTGCTGTCGTAGGCTGCCCTTGGCTGCTATTGCTGCTTTCTCCCCAGTGCCTGATGTTCTGATGTACTGTGGTTTGGGGTTTAGAAAAAAGCCAAATAAAATATGGCCCAGCATAGATTCTTAAAAACAGTTTCCTTTGCCGGCCTCAGACAGTAGTCTCCTGGAGGAAGTGTCATGTTGAATTGTTTTACATGTTTTTCAGGTGAAAAAAATGCATTTCTATTGTAGTTGTTCTGTACTGTGGACTTGGTGTCTTGAATACCGAGCTGTTACGCTATTTGTGGTATTCCCCTCCGCCTGCTTTTTTTAAATTTGGCTATTCAGGAAGTTCAGATGTCCTTTGAAGGAAAACAGCTACTTCAAGATGTATATTTAGTTTTTAATATAGGTGTCTATAAGGCTTGAATGTGAAGCACTGAGCAAAATTGGCACATGCTAGATTTTCCCAAGTGACAAACAATTGCTGCTGTGACAGTGTCCTGGAAATCTTGTGGTTCAGAGGTCAGAGATTTGTTAAAAGAGTAAATGTTAAATCATACTTAATATGTTATGGTCAAGCTTGGCAAACTTCTTTGGAAGTGTTTGTGTGGATCTGAAGTAAGAATTGTAGCTGAATTTGCTTAGCAGTTGGGAGAGGAGAGCCCTCAGTCCAGGGGCTCCGTAGTGTTATTAGGAGCAAAGTCACAGACTTCTAACCTGTGACTTCTGGCCTCTGTGAGACTGAGTGGTTTTGTAGTCTAGGTAATCTGGGAATTTGTTGTCTTACTACATAAATTGTTGAATCACATTTGCATTCTTGATCAAAGTTTGGTTGGACTCTGGCTGCTGCTGTTGAGATGGATGGCTTCAGAATGTCTTGGTAATGCTGAACATTTGGACTCGGTGCACGGCCGCTATGTACCACCAAGGACTAGTCCAGGAGGGCTGCTTACAGTGCAGTCCCTTTCACTACACAGACTCTGGAAACAATTCCATGTATAGTACATGATCTCGTACTGTTCAGATTATAGAATGCAATTAATTTTGTTAGGCTTTATTTCAAGAGGTATTGTTTGGATAGCGAAGCTATGGATAGTAATCGAACACTTCAATCTGCCCTGTCCCTTTCAAAGGGACTTGCTTGTTAGCCTCTACCAGTCTCAAATGCTATCCTCATAAAAATGCAAATGGATCAGAGTTTGTTTATTCTGCCTAGCTAACTGTTCTTTAGCTGGAATGCTGATATTGTTAAATTATTTTTTTTTAAAATAAGAAATGGAGATTAAAAAAGAAATCCAGCTTTTCTTCCAGCTTCGAGAAAGACCGTTCAGGGTATTCGTTTCGCACAACGACACTGCGTGTCCTATAAATGACTGGTCCTGTGGGAGGTCAGGCTGAACACCTCTTCCCCTCTCTGTCCCTTGCTAAGAGGTAGACTCTTGAATGTGAGGCTCCAGTTCCTTCCTCAAGGTTATGCTGTCAGTGTTCAGATTGGGTCGTGGTTTCCCACGAAGACTGCTTTCTGCCTTTCACATAATGCAACTTGGAGTCCTCGTCTTAAACTTAAAAACTAGGACTTCTAAAACCAGAAAGAAAAAGTAAAAAATGTTTTCTTTGATTATTCTTCTGTATGCCAGTCACTTCAAAGGCAGCAGCCATTTCGGTAGTTGTATTCTGGAGGTGCATGATATGGTTATGTGGTCATAAAAAGGCAATCCTAATCTTGTGAGGAAAGGTGCAGATGTAGTTTTCCAGTGCATTTTGCCTTTTGCTGTAGACGGTTTTGTCTTGAGAGCAAATATAGCAGACTGTTTAATGCTACTTATTGAAGCTAAAAAATGGACTTAATTTTATTGTGGCTTAACAAAAGGCTAAAAACTTGCTCAAATAAATAGTGGGCAGTCAGCGATCTCTTGGTCTCTTGGTTCAGTCTGACTCCCTTTTTAGAAGTTTGTCTTTAAATCCAGAGAAAAGCAAATAACTGTTCAAGTTCTGGACTATGGAGACAAGATTGCATACTATGTAAAGTGAAGGAAACTTGTTCTTGCAGACTTTCCCATGGATTTGGATTGCCTCAAGTAATGAGTGGGTACTAAAGAGCAAGGAAACTGATATTGTGGAAATAGCTGGCTTTTGAAGTGGAGGAAAATCAAGAACATGTTTAACTCTTTTAAGACTTTACTGCATACCTGTAATTGTCCAGTTTTGTGGTCTAGAGAATATGGAGTGTTTCTGGGCTTTCTTATAAGGCAGAGGCTCCATACACGGTTGTTGATTGTTCTAAATTCCCATTGTTTTCTTGGCTTTTCTCCCTTGGTATATGTGTCGTCTGGAATCTGATTTGTAGTTGGTGAGGTAACATACGTGGAGCTCTTAATGGACGCTGAAGGAAAGTCAAGGGTAAGTGTTTGAGAGATTTCTTCTGTGGATTTTCTACATGACAAATGTAACTGTATGGTGGCGTGGAAGGAAACGAAGTCAGGAAGGTAGAGAGTGTGTATGCTTAGTGGCTATAACATAGGACTGCTTAAAGCTTCTTTTGGGGTGGGGAGGAGGTGGGATGGGGCCTTGTAAATAGTGTTAGGGTGGTCTTCCACTGTGTTCAGTTGGCGTTGGCTGTTTGAATGACCCATGGACCCTAGCAGTATGTATAGTGGTACGGAATATTAATGTAATACTTGTGTTTTGGAAAACGTCACTGTAGTGGTTTGCTGAATTTGTAAGGCCAGTGTGCAAAAGCAGGTTCTGTAAACTACACTTCCTGGGCCAGTAAACAGAAGTCAATTCCTAAATGTAAATGTATATTGCCTTCATAGGTGCTTAGGTCCTTTAGTCTAGGAAAAAAATAGTAGGAGCACACTTAACTGTACTGAAGGATATGGATTCAGGGTGAGAGAGTATGTCAAGGGTTTTGCTGTATGACAGAGAAGAACAGGTCACATGAAGCGTGTGTTATTTTTCTTGGAGAATCGGGACTTAGCTCTGTTTGTTACAACGTCAGAATCTACAGTTTAATCCTGTTAACGCATAAGAAATTATATCTTATGGAGTTCAAGTATTGAAGGCTTTATTGGGTAAGATTACATTTATTTTCACTATTAGGGCTAACTAATGTCATTTGACTTTTTAAAAAAAAAAAAATTTTTTTTTGTGTATCTTGTGCTTTTACTTACTTTATTTCTTCTTTCTTCCCTCCTCTCCTCCCTGTTACTCGCCTGTGAAATCATCTCATCAGGGATGCGCGTAAGTTCACTTATGAATTTATAGCAAGAAATGAGGAAACACTTAAAAAATAAGCAATGTTCTTAGATGTCTTGTATCCCCACAGTGTTGTTGAATTCAAGATGGAAGAAAGCATGAAAAAGGCTGCAGAGGTTTTGAACAAGCATAGTCTTGGTGGAAGACCATTGAAAGTGAAAGAAGTAAGACGTGCATCTGTTCTTTCAGTATGTTGACCTTGAAGGTGAAGGGGTAGTTCTTAGTCAAGATTTATGGCTAATTCATTTGCAGATAAGAATAATTGACCAAAGGTAGGACTCATCAAATAGGATTAAAAAATCAACCTTTTTTTCACCATCGGCATGTACTGCTGAACTTGCGTTTGAACATGATTATCAAGACTAAGCTTGACTTAAAGAATAGGTGCTGATGGTAGCAATGCAGAACTCGGATGAAGCAGGAGTTTGGCTTTAACTGCAGGTATACTTTCTTGTTTAGTGATTTGAAGAAGAAACCTGCATAGGTATTGTTTGTTCCTGACTGCCTTCCCTTTTAATTCTGCATCATAATGAATATATATTCTACAAACAATTCTGTAGAATAAGCTGTTTTCTGAAATACTTCAAGGATCTATTTCCATTTTAATGGCTTTGCTATTGTCAACCAGTATGACATGCTCAACCGTACCATGAATTAATTCTTAACCATTGACAAGTCTAAAGTTTTATTCCAGCAGTTTGGAACCTGTAGCTGCATTGAAGATTCAATTGAACAAAAATAAAAAGGGATTTCCTTCAGTGTTAGCATTGAGTCTTGGCCTTAGGGTATGGGAGCTATGCTCTTGGCTAAGCAGGCTTCCTGTTCTATTGTGTCCTGCCCACTTAACGGTGGGGAGTGAAAGATGTCTGCATGAGTGTAAGAGAGAGAATGTGTGCAGAAGGTCTTCCCTTGGTAACCTGCTTCTTGCTGTAGTCTGAGGAGCGCTTGGGAAGAAGGATGGGGACAGCAAGTGGCAGGACTTCTCGGATCTGGCAGATTTTGTAAGTAGAGTGATGAATTCTGGGGGCAGCAGCTTGCTTCTGGGCACGTGCTGTCTTTTGGCACTACTGACTTCTCGCTACCCTTTAAAGGGAAGAAGAGGTGAAATGGAAGGTTAGAAAAACATAGTTGCACCTGAAGGTCATCAGGCACTGACTTCTCTAAGGGGCCCTTGGAAGAAAAAGCTATTGAGAGTGAGCCGCATCTGGGTCGGTTTTCCTGTTAATAATATACCATTAGTACTGGAAGTCAGGTTGCCCTTTCGTTTCAGTCCTTGAGAAGAGGTGGTTGTAATTTGCCCAACTCTTCACGAAACTGTTGTCATACTTGAATATACTTGCCTGTGTGACACAGAACAGAAATGATACTTGAAATTGATGAAGAAGCATTTTACAAGTATTAGGTACTTCAGCAATGTTCACCTCAGCCAAGTGCCCCAGTCTGACTGTGTGGAATGAATGAAGTTATTGTGGATGACCATTAGTGTAGGTTTTGCCAACTATCTGGTACGTACCTCTCCGTGTTGGCTGTCTCACTGCTGAGGAGCATGAAGGCCTTCAAGTGACATCCTAAAAATTCTGCAGCAGAATAGCTAAAGCTCTTTGCCTGATCAGAAGGCTTTAGTTTGTATGACAGCCACTCTTGGCTTTCTATCGGAGCTAATCTGGTTTTAAGCAATACCCTATTTTAACAGTGAAATAGGAAATTTAAATTGAGAAGTGACTTGTATTCACTTTAATGTGTTCTCCACCTCAGACTACTATGATTTTCTGTAGCTGAAATAATCATGTGAAAGCGATCCTTTCTCCTGTTTTCAAAATGTGCTATTATTTAGTCTTAAAATTTGGATCAAGATTAAAATTAAATCGAATAGCTTTTATTTTTAAAGCATCTGTATTTCTGACTAATTAATTATATTTGACATGTCACGTTCTTCAGCAGTCTTGCAGTGCTGGTGCATTTTACTCACTGAATACAGTGTGACATTTCCAACCTAAGTAACATAAGTTTACCTTGTATTGTGAAGGTACTTACCTTCACTTTCACTATAAAGTGAAGTGACAATAATTAATCTTATTTCCTTCCTTGAATTCTTCATCCTATGCTTCATGTTCTCTAGCATGTCCTAAAATTGTGAGATTATGCCGTAACAGGGGGATACATTTGAGGGTTTTTTTGGGTTAGAAAGCCAGGCGGGGGTGGGGGGTGGGGTGGGAGAAGTGTTGCCCTAATGAATCTTCTTGAAATTTTAAACACTGTATCTTGCCTTGTAAAGAAGTCCAAGTGCAAAATAAATGAATTGTTGCATTGTTTTGAAGATGCAGAGAGTCAGTTGGCATTTGTCTTCCAAAACCTCTCCAATGCCATTCTGGATTTATCAGTCTTTGGAACAGATATAACTGTGAGGTTTTTTGTTGGTATTGAATAATAGATAAACACTTTTAGAATCAGGGGAAATGCATGAGTAGGAGTAACTTGCTAACTTGAAGGGTGCTGGAATATTGATTAAAAGAAAACAAATTAGTGGACTGCAATGATACGTGAAGTAGTTGACTGGAGTCTCTAGGGAGCAGACAGCCCGGCATAAAGGGAAGCCCCTTGTCCTTTTGACTGTTTTAGGCATGCCACTAAATCCCATGCATTTAGTGGAGTACAGAGGGAACAGAGTATGTTTTTTTTCTGTTTTTACAGGATCCGGATGGTGAGCATGCCAGGAGAGCAATGCAGAAGGTCATGGCAGCAGTTGGTGGAATGGGTATTGGTCCAGGCCCGGGCGGCCCCGGCATGATCAATATCCCGCCTAGTATACTCAACAATCCCAACATACCCAATGAGATCATTCATGCCTTACAGGCAGGGAGACTTGGAAGCACTGTCTTTGTTGCAAATGTAAGTACTGTGTAATCTGTAAACAGAGTATCTGGGTCTTAACTCAGTTAAGTCTAATGAATTGGAAGAAAAGCCTCAGACTTTCAGCTCTGTTCCAGTAAAACTGAGTAGTAACTTTTTCTGTGGCTAGTCTTGTTGATTCTCTGTGCTAGAGAAGTTGTAAATTAAGATGTATTCTATACATGACAGTGTCTGTTAACTTGTATTTTTGAACAAAGCCAAGAACATTGCATTAAGCTCTGTAGCATTGTGAATGCTACTTAAATTTTATCCTATCTTTATGAAGACTCTGTTTCTTAAGATTGCTGATATCGGGAAAGGAAATGTAAGAACACTAAAGCTGTTTTTGATGGAAATCTTTCTCATACTTCCAATATCACTTGTCTTCCAGTTGGATTACAAGGTTGGTTGGAAGAAACTGAAAGAAGTATTCAGCATGGCTGGTGTTGTGGTTCGGGCAGACATACTAGAAGATAAAGACGGCAAAAGTCGTGGGATCGGCACTGTCACTTTTGAGCAAGCTATAGAGGCTGTTCAGGCTATATGTATCCTTGAAGAGTAAAGATGGTAAATAGTAGGCTAAAAACTTAGTAAACAAAGCAGGATGAAAGTGTAAATTGTAGTATTACAAGAGAGGATATTGCCATGTCACAGGAAGTCAAGCCCTTGCAGTGAATGGAAAACTGAAAAAGAGAAGAAAGTCCATCTTGAAAGAACTGTTGTTTGTTCAGAATCATTGACAAAGTGGATTCTCTTTCCCATGTGGATATATGTGTTTCTAGTCCAAATAGTAAATTTCTGTCTCTAGGGTGTAGCTAGTATTGAAATGTAATTTCTGAGAAAAGATTTGTCTTAAATTCCTGTGACAGAGGTAAAGGAGGAATGCAGCAAGTCTATTTGCAATTTAAGATGGCTTGACTAGTGTGTTCCTCTGTTCCCTGTATCCTTATGGTGTGCTAGGGATGGTTTGCTACATAGCAATCTACAAAAAACGAACAACAACAAAGTGCAGATACTACTGTGTGCATGATCTCTCAGCTTGTGGCTATGGTATGGAAAGGAGGAAGATATTTCCCCCTTTCCCCTCCTAAAGTTTCTCTTTCTATTTTAATGTTAATTCCATTTTGCATGTGCACCTAGTAAAGTTAATCCTTGTGGGAGCAAGACTTATACAAATCACTAGCGTGGCGTACTTCAAAATTTAGCTATTTTGTTGATTTGGAAATGTTGAACTTTTGCATGTTTTCTCCTGTTTTAAGTGGCTAAAGTTACTGATGAAACATTTAAATACCTGACTGGTTTGGAGTCACATTTTGAGTGATCTCTTAATCTTAACCAGAAGAGTAATTTTAACTCCTGTTTTAATTTTAAAAAGCTATTCTTTCAATATTCAGTTACTTGGATTTCAAAGCTTTTTAGTTTTGGAGAAGGCAGAAGGATTTTTGATAATCTGTGAACGATGGCTTAAGAAGCGACCTGGAGAGATGCAGTTTTCTGGCTGGGTGTTTGTACGCTGCATCAGATAGCACTTAAAGCTTTAAGTCCTTGTGTGGTTCTAGCGCTTGAACAATGATCCTTAATGAGACAATAGCGATGTTTAATGGGCAGCTGCTGTTTGACAGACCGATGCACGTAAAAATGGTAAGTATGTTCAAGTTCTTGCTGCATTTTGAACTGGTAATTGTGCTCCTGATTTTGGATGATGTGTGGTTTCAAGGTAGGGTTGAAATACAGGGAGGAAATGCATGATTTGCCTAATTCTTAGTGATGTCAACTCATGCCATCAGGGAGGGCTAATTCTGATTATTTTGCGAAAAGATAATCTTAAATACAGTAATGATTGCTTTAATTTTAAGTTTCTGTGTTTTAATTTAAAAATAAAAAGGGTAAGAAATAATTTCTTACTTTTTTGCAAACTTTAATGTATTGAATTGTGTTTAGGATGAACGAGCCTTTCCCAAAGGAGACTTCTTTCCTCCAGAGCGACCCCAACAACTTCCTCGTAAGTCTCACCTGCATGACTGAACATGTTATGTTTTTTATTTTTGCTGTTCAGCAACTGGGGCCCAATCCCAGCCCCAGTAAGACTCTGGTTCAAATTTTGGAAAGCTGGGATCCAAATGACCTGAATAATATCAAAGGGGGAAATAGTAAAGAAGAGCTGCTCAGTCTTTTTTTTTTTTTTTTTTTGGATACTTCTTTCAGCTCACAGCTAGAAGCTTGTCTTAAAACACTATCCCATTCACGTTCTCAAGGCTTCCAAATCTCTCAGTTGTAATTCAGAGACCCTGATGCCTTGTAAAACTACTGTTAATAGTGGGATTTAATGGAATGAATTGAGGACCTGAGAATCTTCCAGTTTCTAAAGGGGATCTCATCAATGTATATAAATATCTGAAGGGAGGGTATAAAGAAAAGGGAGCCAGGCTCTTTTCAGTGGTGCCCAGTGACAGGGCAAGAGGCAGCAAACCTAAACTGAAACACAGGAAACTCCATCTGAATATAAGGAAACATTCCTGTGAGGGCAGCCGAGTACTGGAACAACAGGTTGCCCAGAGCCTGTGGAGTCTCTATCCTTGGAGATACTCAGAAGCTGTGTGGATATGGTCCTGGGTCACCAGCTTGTCGTCACGCTGCTTGAGCCAGCGGGGTTGGAGCAGATGACCTCCAGAGGTCCCTTCCAACCTCCACCATGCTGTGATAAGATACTGAAAGTATTGAACAGGAAGAGTCTGGGTTGGAAGAGCTAGAGGCAGGAGAACACAGGCTTAATTTGTTTAAACGCAGCAGAAATATAAAGTTGGGCTGTTCACGCAATTCTGTTAATTCAGCCAGTTGCTGTTTTCTTAGGCATGGGAACCAAGCCTGTTGTGTGCTGCTAACTTGCACAATTTTAGTGATCATCAATCAATCCCTTAAATTAGTTCAGTTTTCTGTGTATCTGTCAAAGCCTTACTCAGCAGCAGTATCATTCACGTTCTTTATTGCTGCTTTAACTTTCTATAATGGTATACCTCTTCTTCAAGAGAAAGTCATTGAGTTCCACTTTAATTATCTTTGTAAAAAACTCAACAAATACTACCAACGGAAGCCTGTGTCTTGGCCTTTATTGGGGCGGGGAAGGGGTATCTTACGTTGTTTTAAAACAAGATTCAATGCTTCCTGTGTTTATTGTGCTGAGCTGTAAATGAGGAAGTCCTCTTCTCATAGGCAAAGAATGCCATTATGCGGTCGTTTGATTCCAGTGCAAGCAGAAAACTCTTTTCTTCCTGATTAACTATAAGGAAATTATGAGGGCTTTTTCTTCTTTCTTTGGACTGGGGAATCCTTAATTCATTTGGGTACAGGAAGATTCAAAATTATGCCTGGGGATGATACACTTTGTTTGCTCAGAGAAGAGGCTGGCTGTGTGCTCTGAATTCTATAGGTGGCTATCATAACGATAGGCTCAACTTTGTGGTTAAATTCTTACCTATAAGGGAAGAACCTTGGCAAAGGTGGAGATAAACCACTTGCCAGTCAAGGGTAATATTGTGCAAAGGTTAGAAGATCTTTATACTAAATTGCCCACTCTATTCTCCTTAGATTGAGGAGGAACACAAAATAAGCAGTGTTCTAGCCAGTTATTTTTCAGGAGTCAGCTTAAAATCAACCAAACAAGCAAGTTTTCTCAATAGTAAGATGGAAAATGGATTATGAGAAACAAATATTGGAGATAGTTTTTAGTGTATTTCAAGACACATCTATTCTGGATTTACTATACGCTTTCATGCTTTAAGTGCACACCCCGAAGGGGGAACACAGCAAGCTTTTTGGAGAATGGAAGTCAATTACTTAACAATAAAACTTGCTGTTATGTCAAACTATGGAAAGAAGGCTTTTTTGATATCTGAATATTTTCTTCAGATGGTCTTGGTGGTATTGGCATGGGATTAGGACCTGGAGGTCAACCTATTGATGCAAATCATTTAAACAAAGGCATGGGAATGGGCAACATGGGACCTGGAGGTAAGAAGATTACTCCTATGCTTTTGTTTCATGAGAGCTTTAAGCTATGTAGAAGGTAGATAGCTTTGTTTTGCCTACACAAAAAGTTAAAGTGTATTAGGAGTGTTAAAGCCAAATGAGTTTTTGTTGAGCTAAATAATGAGCTTGATACTGGAAACTTGAATTTAACCAACTGCTCCATTTTTTTTTTCACTGTGGTCAAGACACAGCTCTCATTTTCTGACTCTTGAGCATGAGCAGCAGACACTGCAAATAATACATTAAACTTTTAAAACCATCTGTCACTTTTAACACTTATTAGTGGGCTTGTAAATCTTTGTTTAGGATATGTTTAAATAGCACAAGTTTTAAAGAGCCACCTAAAAAGTAGCACACATTCAGCTTTCAATTTATAAATGCCTATGGGTTTTTCCCCTTTGCTGCTTTATTTTCTGAGAAGGAATGTTGCAATCTACTCAGAGGTATCACATGTAAGCTCTTCAGTTCAAACAGTGGACGTGTTGTATGGTCTCTTTTTTCTACAGCCAGTCTAATGGCTGAACTTTTGTAGAATTACATCTGCTATATAAAGCTTTCTCTTTTATTTTGAGGAATGGGAATGGAAGGCATGGGCTTTGGAATGAATAAAATGGGAGGTAAGCTGTGTGGTTTGGTTTTTTTTTTTTTTTTCTTTTTGACACGTATATAGCTTGGGCTTTCTGAAAGTCATGTAAACTTAGCTGTATATGTCTAGCAGGTGTTTGTTTTCTTTGAAATAATCACCAATTTAGTAATACCTTGTTCCTTTTTGAGTATTAATAAAACTGCTGTAGGTGTATGGGGAAGGATTAATACCTCAGATAAAACTTGACCAATGTTTTTGTCATGTGACTTGTTAAAACTGTCCTTGGTTTTGGAAGTACAGCGTGACCAAATTCTGGCCTAATTTTGTTTTGTGAATCTGTGATCCAGAGTTGTCTTGGAGCCTCTGGAAATGTTCTGTGAAAACAGCTTATGTGGGTGAAGTGTAGTGTGAAGTTGAAATGCATTGCTAAAGAATCCCTGAAAAATACTTTCTTTCAGGAATGGAAGGTCCTTTTGGTGGCATGGAAAACATTGGTCGCTTCCCAGCTGGAATGAACATGGGCAGAATGAGTGGTAGGCATTATATCTATCTTTTTTTTTTTTTTTCCCCTCTGGTCTATCCACCTCCTGATTTGTGTTCTCTGAAAGCGTAACATTGGAGAGACTCTCTTGACTGGTCATTTTCCTCTTCTCAGCTTTTGTTGGAAAAACTTGAACCTTACAGCTGACGTGATGTCCACAAGTCACTTATGGCCTCTGAGCTACAGAAAACAAGTGATTCATTGAGGTTGTCTTGAAGGACCAGTTTAGAAAGAGAGAAACTGCTCTATGTGTATACACCAGAAAGGCTTCTCCAGAGCAAAGTGGCAACCTCAAATGTGTTTGTCCATATGGGGATGAGTCCTGCTTTTTGTTGGTTTTTTGGACTCAAGGAGACATGATAGAATGATCAGGAGAACGTAATAAAAAACACTTGCCTTTCTGTTAATCTTTTAAAAATTATGGCCATATTAAAATGTTCTCTCAGGAGTCGTTTAGACACTGAAGAACACACATGACGCTTACTCTTTTCAGAGATGGATCGTGCCATGGGTGGAGGATTTGAAAGAGAATTTGGAAGAAATGAAATGGGAATGTCTCGTAGTTTTGGAGAGACCTTGGAGAGAGGAATAGGTAAGTACACTAAGTTAAGTACTTTTACTACCTACTTTTCATACCCGAACTGTACCTAAAAATCATGCATGTTTTGTTATAATAAAAACAGACTGTATTTTATATGTATTTGCTGTAATAGTTTGGTTTTGATCAAATTCCTAAGAGCTGTACAGAAGGCAGACATATACACTAGTCGTGATCTGTGAGGCTGTGTAATGGAATTTCAGATGCGACAGGAAACCTTCAGACAGTCTTAATACACTGCCTTGTGTCTTGAAGCTTCATGCTAAACTTCCATATATGTGCGTGGCAAAGAGGAACGTTCTGAATGATGCAGGACCTAATCCTGTCACCAAAATGTAGTCTGCGGCCTGGACAGTAGGGAGGAAAAACATGGCGAAACCTTAATTTCTTTCCCTTCCTCCCAGATGTTTTTAGGAATCTGGTATAGACTTACACATCAGATGATTGAAGAAAACACCTTAATGTGCAACTCATGCAGTGCTAAAATTAGTGTTCTTCTGTTGGTCTTTCCTTTTTAACCCCGGTGGGAAAAGGAAGACTATCAAATAACTTGGCGCAAAATATTAGTTGAACTCAGCAAGTATAGTGCGGTGCTGTTCTGTTTGTAGCAGCTTTGAGATGGCAAAAGATATTAATCATGCTTCATGGAAAGATTCAGAGCTTGAACATTTTTAATATCTTCTCTAAGCATCTGTTCTGTGTGTGTACAGCTTGATTCAGCCAGTTCCCGAGATTGCTGTGTTGTTGCTGTGCTCTGTTAATTTGATATAACTTAAATTAATTTTTGAAGAAAGTGAAATCCAGTACACTGCTGATACAACTCAGATGACTCGTTATAAAACTGGACCTTGTTTGCAGGGAAAGGTGATCTTTTTTTAAAAGTCATTAAAAAAAAAAATCCTTACCTTAAAATTAAGGTTGTAAAGCAAATACAGCCTTCAGAAAACTGAAAGTACTTAAAGCAGCAATTCAGTTATGGAAACTCACTGCTTTTTTTTTTTAAATATATATGTATGTAGCATAATGCAATAAAAATAGTTTTGAGGGAGATAATCTTTAAATAGATAAGCAGTATTATGCATTAAAACACTTCTTAAAAAAGGTTTCTGGAAGAGTAAGAAAAAAATATTTTAGACTGTCAGCCTTGCTGGTAGTTGTCCATTTTTGAAATGCTACTGATCAATTAGATACTAAATTTTTTTTTTTTTCAGTGAAAACAAAGTCCTGTTCCTTCCCACTGCCTGTATAACATTTAGCTTCATAGCACGTTGCCCAGTGACTGTCTGGAAATACTGGACCATTTCAGTAATGAAGTACTCAAAACTGCAGAGTTTCTGAAACAAAGCTGACCCCAAGTATCTCAAAATAGGCAGACCTCCCCCCCTTCCTAATTTACAGAATTTATTTTAATTGCTTAATGACTGAATCACAACATTTAATAACCAAGAGTTGGCTCTGCCTGCATGGGATTAGCCCTTTTCTGGGAGACTCTAAAAAATGAATGCACAACGCTGCTGACTTTCAGCTGAAGCAAGACTAAATGTTGATTGCTGTTGTTTCTTCACAACTTGCTTGCACAAGTACAAATGTCACGTAACCCAAACCCATTCTGTTATTTAAGGGACTACTGAAGCTCAAAATACTGAATCAGGACAAGTGCTGTTTGTGAATGTGGTTGCTTCAGTTTTCTTGAGCGTAGGCTTATCTTAATATCTTGAGCATAGGCTTATTTTAACATAATCTTGTTTCTCTTCATTAAATATATGTAGGTCATTTAAGTACGCACTTTCTTCAAGGCTTTTTTCCCCTCAAATATTAATCAAACTCAACATGATTTTTCTTACAGTGCTACAGTGCCAAACTTGATTTGATAAATAAGCTAAGAGCCTTTGTACAACGGCAAAATGGCATAAACTGTAGGGGAGTGATCCTTTTACTGCAGAATCTCCAGGAGTCTGTAGCAGAGTCAGACAAGGCATTTTGTGTAGCAGATATAGAAACCTTATTCTTGTTTGTGTTTTATGGCACAGGCAGCCTCTTTATATTTCATTCCACGTTGAAAGGCCAAGCATGCTTTGTGACTTTATAATGGCCATTCAGCTGTGGTTCTTGTGTGGAATTTACTTTGTTTTTCTTGGGAGTTCTGGCAATAAGAGAGCTCTTAAGTTTGGGCAAGCTTTTCTTGTAAAATTCTCTGCCTGGCTTGGCAGAAGCAATCTTTGAGTTGCGTGGCAAGGGTGATGTGATTTCATTCCTCTTCCAAGCAATCTGTATTTGAACTGTAATTTCAGTTACTAAATTACTACTCTTGCTGTGTAATCCCCAGTGTACTGCACAGGAGAGCTAGCAGCTAAAATTATATTTAAAATACTACTTTTGCCAGTTGATCTTGTCTTAGGTTTGCATATGCCTTCAAAATTTTCTGCTTTGTGTTTTTGTTTTGTTTTGGTTTTTTTTTTTTTTTTTTTTTTTTTTTTTCCTGGAAGGCTTTCTTTGTGCGTACAGAAGTTAAGCTCCTTAGTAAAGGGATAAACTTCTCTCCATCCCAAGTATAGTATGTGGTCTGATGAGATGACTCCTCCCCTAAATCATGTGTTGTAGTCATGATGGTCTGCATAATCAACAACAGTGCTCTTCTTGCCATGCGAAGTGAAACTTTGCTTCATATTCTGCAGCAACAGAGCACACAGTGTACAGTCACTTTTCTGAATGCTGATAAAGCTTAAAGTGTTTCAGTAGTGCAAGCGTGTGTTAGGGTTTTTTTTTTTCGTTCCTGTATCATTACTGATAACCTGTGTGTTGTGTTGCAGGTGGTGGAAATGCCAGCATTCCTGGGATTGAGAGGATGGCACCTGGCATTGATCGTATGGGCTCGGGAATAGAAAGAATACCTTCCGGGATGGGGCATGGGATGGAGAGAGTAGGGTCAGAAATAGACAGGATGGGTCTTGTTTTAGATCGTATGAGCTCCAACGTGGAGCGAATGGGTTCAGGAATTGACCGAATGGCCCCTCTGGGCATAGATCACATTGCTCCTAACATTGAGAGGATGGGCCCAGCTATTGAGAGAATGGGGTCTGGCATCGAAAGAATGGGTTCTGGCATAGGCTTTGGTATCGAGAGAATGGGTGCTGCCATTGACCGCGTTGGCACCACTATGGACAGAATGGGATCAGGCGTAGAACGTATGGGTTCTGGCATGGATAGAATGGGTATAGGTATGGAGCGTATGGTCCCTGCTGGAATGGGAACTGGAATGGGTCAGGTGATAGAGAGAATGCCAGCTGGTTTGGATCGCATAGGTGCCACTCCTATGGAAAGAATAGGAATAGATCGCATGGGTGCTGCTAGCATGGAGAGAATGGGCTTGGAGCGCATTGGAGCCACTAATATGGAAAGAATGGGTCCTGCTATGGGACAGGGCATGGGAGCAGGCATAGATCGAATGGGACTTGCAATGGGAAGCAATTTTGAAAGAACAATGGACATGGAACGTGGAAACTTTGCAGGCAATTTTGCAGGCTCCCTTGGAGGAACTGGAGGACCTGCAGCTGGGGTCGCCAGAAAAGCCTGTCAGATATTTGTGAGAAATGTGAGTAGCCTTCTTCCTACTTCCTCTTCACAGATCGTGAAATTCATTGGTACTGACTTGTTGATCTCATCTATGCTGGGTTGACTTCAGTCAGAATATCTAATATTGGATGCTGCCAAAGCTGGAGTTACGTGGGCTTTTGTGAGTTGAAGCCATGTCTTTAACAGAAGAGCTCTCTGCATCTGTAAATGAAGATGTTGAGCAATGGCTGTCCCAGGATGGAAAACGTGTTTTGAAGAGTTGGCAGTGCTTGCAAGTTGTTCAGCAGATCCTCAGTAATGGTCTGTTCTTCTCTTTTCACAGCTGCCTTTTGATTTTACATGGAAAATGCTGAAAGATAAATTTAATGAATGTGGTAAGTTACTTTATCCCTGGTAATTACTCTGAGACTTGAATAAGCATTAAACAGTAACTCCTGGCTCTCCATGTCCCTGACACTACTATCTTAACTAAAATTTCACTCAGACTTACCGAAATACTGGATCTTAATGTTGACAGGTGTTGTGGGGATGTTCACTATCCCTGCTATATCAGAAAGAGTTCTGCAGTGTTGAAATAAATGCCTGGCCAGTTGATAGCCCAGTTAACACTGCATTTGTGCCCTTCTCCATCTCAGGGGCTGGGTTTATCATAGGGATAGCCTCTTTGTAGTAGCAGAAAGAGATGGGAATAGAGAAATGGAAGTTCTGTGAACTGCTGAAAAGTACCTGCATAGATTCTTTACATCTAAATGAACATAGTTGTCTGGAAAAACTGTCCTTAAAGAATTAAAAAAATTCTTAATTCAGGTACTGACTGTTGAGGTGTTCTCTTCAGCTTTGGGGATTTTTTTTCATGGCAGCGGTTGCTGTACCCAGACCTTACTCCCCAGTATCTTGTGCTGCTTGTCTGATAGCAAAACCAAGCCCCAGCCTCAGCAGTCATGATGTGAAGCGTGCCTTGACAAGTTGGACAGGGTTTGTAGGCTTGTGCTTTGCTCTGCTCATCTCATTCTGATGCTGCTGCTTGAGTGGGGGTTGAGAGAACCAGTTTGAATTAATTCCTCTGTTAAACTGAGAACACTTCCTTAAAACAGTGACTCAGTAAAGTTGTCCTGCAGCTCTAAGTTTCACAGTAACGGTAGCTTCTAAAGGTATGCTTTCTGTGGCTTAAGGTAGAGAACTGTGATTTGATACAGAGTTATGTGGTACCTGGTAGGTTAAACAAGACCCTTTCTTTTCTTTTTAAGGTCATGTGCTGTATGCTGATATCAAGATGGAGAACGGGAAGTCTAAAGGATGTGGTGTGGTTAGATTTGAGTCCCCAGAAGTAGCTGAGCGAGCCTGCCGTATGATGAATGGGATACAGCTTCGTGGGAGGGAGATTGATGTGCGAATTGATAGAAATGCTTAAGTAGTTGCCTTTTTAACACTGATACCAGATTTTTGAATTTGTATTTTTTCTTGTTAACCATTTTAATTTGACTGGATGTAAAGGTGTTAAAACAATTCAGTTGCTTTCTGGAGTAATTTTAATTACTTTTTTAACAAATGGATTTCCATTTTACTGTTTTTTGCATTGAAACTGCAATGTGCACAATCTTTTTTTGTAGTTGTGGCATCTTGTTGACATTACAGATGTAAACAGTATGACTTTGATAATAAATGCAAGTTAAAGATTTCAGTCACAGCATCCGTTACTGGCAGCACATCTTATGCTTGCAAAAATATCTGTAAACTGAGCTCAGTAAACTAGAACTTGTATTCTCTTGTGAAGTGTCAAGAAAGAATGTTCCTCTTGGTTGTCAGTTTATGACAGTATGAATCGCTCTTTAAAGTGATGCATTTGCGTATTTGCATCGGTGTTTGAATGGCTGCGGGGTGCAGGGGACTTCCTTTTCCTGTATTCAGACCTAATCGCTGACCACTCTTAGCAAAAGGCTGGTAGCTTAATTCTTCTCCAGTGGCAATGCTGATTTAAAAAAAAAAAAAGCAAGCAACAACAAAATAAATAAAATATCTTCTACCTTCAGTTGTGTCAGTGCCATTCTGAAGGCCTGAACTGAAAATGGATTTTAAAACTTTTTTTTTCCTTCAAATGTGGAGCATTTCAGCAGGGGCCATGCACAGAGGTGTATCGGTTTCAGTCAGGGGTGAGGTGCAGCAGGTAAGTGGCAAACAGCTGCTGCAGGTGGAAGGCAGAAGGTGGGATATTTCACCTTCTCCTGCCACAAATTGAAAGTGGATATTTTTGAGTGGGAATTCTTGTGGCAGGAGAGCTGAAGCTGTATGCCAAATACAGGATTTCTTACCCTTACCTCAGTTTGAGAGCTGCATGGCCTCCAAAATGAAATTCTTCTTACTGTAATGGGAAATGAAAAGATGTTCTCCTTGTGGGCTTGACTCTGTCAGCAAGACTTTGATTGCCTCCATCTCTCTTACTGAGATCGATCAGTATCATCTCGATGATAGTGAGCAAGGAGAGTGAGGACCACGGCTCTAAATATTCACCTATAGGCTTTGTTGCACAAGGCTGTCATCCAAACTGTATCCCATCAAAAAGCTGTTTGAAGTGTCATCAACTGGAATTACTAAGCTGAAGCTTATCTGACTTGTCTTCTGGGGAAAGGTCACCTGATGCTGTCTGTACGCTGCTTTATGATTGTACGGAATTGTGCTGCAAGAGCCGGAGTGGTGTCACAAATCCTAAATGTGGAAAAATAGCTTGAATGAGGTGTTCTGACAACTTTTAGAGCTACTATATAGGAAAAAAAATGTCCTAGCTTGATCCTTCTCCCCTCCAGCTTCCTCTCTATAAGCTTCAGGATAACATGCTCTCAAGAATGCCCTCCACTGCGTTTTCAGTTTCACCTTTGCTCTCTTAGTCAAGAAAATCTTGTGTAAAACGTTCCTGCCCTTTCCAACAGCCCCTTCTCTTGTCTCTTACCCCTCGCACTTGTGCCATAGAACTGCTGAATTAACCTAAAATAAACCAATTTTTTAAAATATATTATGGGTCATTAAGGAAGTTTCCTTTTGCGCAGCTGTACTGCCGAGAGGTAATAAACTGCAGCGAGGAAGTGTCGGAACCTCCAGCCAGCCCTGCTGTTGCAGAAATCGGAGCGATGCTGGAGCGGGTACGTTCACAAGCAGAGCGGGAGAGACGCGGGCTGCCGTGTCCTTGTGAGGAGAGACCGGGGCTGTGCAGGAGGAGCAGCAGATCCTTCACTTGGTATTTTGTACTTGGGAGAAAAAAAAAAAACCAAACCCACACAATTGCTTCACGATAAAACCGTCAGTTCAACCGGTGTTGGGAGTTCCCTTGGGGCGGGCCTT